AATAAAATGCCTTTGTTAGTCCTTACCCTGCACTATAGTGTATAACATCCAAAACGAATTAAATTAAGAAATACTCATAGTAACCTTTCATGTAGAAAAAAATTAATTGTCTCTATGAACCAATATCATACTGTAACCATGAAAAAGATTGAGGCAATTTGCAGGCTCAATCTGAATTAGGTTTTGGGAATTATCTCAAGCATGCAGCATCATACTCCTTTGTCTTGCTTGGGGTTTAAACGAGCTGAGCTCTTTAGCTTGAATTGGCTTGTGAAAAGATTAGTGGCTCAAGATTGACTCATTTATTCAATTGAGCTTAATTAAAAGCTCGAGTTTGTCTTGTTAAAAAAATATTAAACTTGAGTTTGACTTCTTTAGCACTTTTATAACTTAATTAATTTTGTTTTTATGAAACTTTTGTTAAATTATCTGTCAACTTTATCAATATAGCATCCAATTCGTTTTATGACTAATCTACCAATAAGAAATATACATAAACTTTTTTTCCCAGAAAAATTACTCATTAAAAAAGAAGCTACTTTTTGCGCAAATGTAATTCAATATTAGCTAGTAGAACCTGGACTTTGAAACAAGTACACTAACATCTCAATAAAACGAAAACTACATTGATGTTAAACTTTTAAAGCTTGGACTCAGCTCATAATAAAGCGTAATGAAAATTTGGGTTTGTTATTTAACATACAAATGAGCTGGACGAGTAATTAACAGGTCTGGTCCGAATAAACAAATAGTTTGGTTCATTTACACCTCTAGTACCGACCATTATAGCATTTATATTGCCAAGGGAATGATGGGGCGTATGATGAATTCATAAATGCAATATTTGATGTTTGATTATGGTGAATTTGATTCTTTGCTTGCAGATGATGTGATCGTCTCTGGTGTCTTAACAGCAAAATGGGCTCCAGAGTTGAAGGATGTGCGTTGTGACCTTGATCCTGTATTAATTGCCAAACAAGTAAGGTGCAAAAGAAGTTCTTACCATGTTGACCTTAAAATTAGTAAAATATTAAAGCATTCCTTGTGTTTGACATTGGTCATAAAAGTTTATCAGATGAAAAATATGTTTATTTAAGCACATCGAAACTTTTCCTGTTTCCCTATTCTGACAACGTGCTTCCAAATATTCTCTTTTCAACTTATTGAATTGTCAGTTCTTTAACTATGCAATGCTAGATATGATATTACGTTTAAGTAGGTGTTATTCTTTCCAGCATTCAATTTACATCTTATGATGATTGAACTACTTCCATTACTATCACTCCCCAAATCCGAGGATGTTAATACAAAACTCTTCATGCACCTCCAGCTAATATATTAAGCTTTCGGGCCCAATGAGTTCCTGGCATGGTATTGAACTTGAAGTCCCCTCAATCACATGGTATTAGGTTTCTTTAGTCAAGAAACCAATCTTTCACTCCTCACAGTACCCACTCACACACAGAAGAAAGAATATGAATGTATATTGCTTCTGTAATCAAAGAATGAAGTGCTTACAATCTTTCCCCAAGGGAGCACTCTCCCTTTCACAGGAACAACCTCTTGTCAATACACTGAATATCAAAAAGCTTCCCCACACAAACACTGTCTATCTTATAAAGGCCCCCCAACAACTAACACTAATTCCTAAATTGTTTCCTCTGCACCCATTATATCCTATCACCTTATATCCTATCACATGGTCTATAAATCAGTCATCGTTAACCTCATTTTTCATATAAATTAAATCTTAGACTGAGCGAAAGTGGATTTGAAGTACCTCCTAAAGTGCTGTGTTGAAGTAAGCCGGGCCAGTCTTTCATCATTGTCAAATTGATCATTAAAGCACTGATGCTCTTGGCTCCATTTGGCCACTTTTCACTAGAATGAGTTCTTAACAGGAGAAAGCAAGTTTCATTGAGAACTTCTGCTCAATGTTCTTATTCCTAATTCTAAATCCAATTTAATTGGCGACTACTCTGAAATGCCTTACAACATAAATTTAATGTGAAATGCCAGGTATCAATGGAAGCTAATAAAGATTCTTTAAAATAATTTATGTGTGTATGTATAAATACAAATTTTGTAGCACAAATAGTCAGTAGGGTGAGCCCTTGCTCAAAGTAAAGTGTCACTTTGGTGATCGGTTGGTCATGGGTTCAATCCAGAAGATCCTCTTTTCACACGCAAAGGTAAGGCTGCACCCAATTATCCTCTCCATACCTTCACATAGCGAAGAGCCATCTAGCACTAGGATGCTAGTTTATCCAGTCTTTATTTATATAAGCAGTCTTAGAGTAATAGCACTCTTGCCTTGAAATGTTCCAACCTGCATTTTTCTTCCTGACTATGGCATAGCTAAATAGGAATGGCTGTATATCATCATTTTTACTCATTTATTTTGGAAAATCTGTTCCTTTGTCATCTTGTATAACTGTACAAGATTTGTTTGCAATACGGTATTTTAAAAATTTCTGTGCATTGATATCATTTTTACGGTTCTCTTATAGTTTTAGTATTTTCATGAAAGAAAAACATTATGATTCCTCTGTCACACGATATATGTTTTAATATACTTAAACAAGCACAGATTAAGTGCTTTCAGGAATTGAACTTACGCTTTAAAATTGTAGACATCTACTAGGATCCAATTGGAAGGAAAGAGAGAATCTGATCAAGTTTATTTTGAATTTTTATTTTCTGTTTGTTGTCAGGAGAGTCAATGAACTGAAGTCAGAAAATTGATGTTTCTGACGATGTTGTTATGAAATTCAAGCAGTTTTGGGCTCACTTCAAAGATTCACCTCTAAAAGGTGGTATTTTGATACAAACTTCATGTATTGCTTGTATCAGTTAAATTCATATTTTTTTGAACCTTTTGTTTTCTACTAATAACTGTGATTTTATATTGTCTATAAGAAATTGGACTACACAGTGCAGCATTATTCATCACTACCTTTTATTTTTTAATCGACCAGACTCTTCACATGCAAATTTGGTTAATGCTTGTACATATTTTATGGTATGCTATAATATATGCATATTGTGTGAGATGAAAACTATAAAGCCTTTTCAAACTGATCCAGGGAGGAATGCTATTCTGCGAGGAATTTGCCCGCAAGTATTTGGCCTTTTCACTGTCAAGTTGGCTGGTAAACGCATTCACCCTAGGTTGAGTCTTATGACTATTTACACATTCATCTTAAAATTTGTTGCATTTCAATATAGGTTCTGTGCTTGCAACTTAGAAGCTTTCATCCTGGACTTAACTTTTCTTTGAGAGGTTTATTTGAAATGTTTTCTAGTTGTATTAAGGAATATAGGATTCTATATATGATGAGTTTCCTTGTCATAGTTACTTGAAATAAATACCTTGGTTCATATTGGAACGTTTGAAGTTTATGTAAATTTTAAATTAAAACTAGATTGAACCCTGAAATGAATAGTTCAAATAGAACCAAACTTTCAATTGATCTTGGAAATGGAAAGCCTAAAGATTAAGTAGTGGTCTCTTTGAATTCCATTCGAAAGAGGAACCTTATATAGGTTGTATAAGGAAGAATAGAACTTCAAAAAGAGTTTGAGGATATTTTAAAATATAAAGGGGCTACAGAATCGCAATGTGGTGGAGGCATTCAACATATTTTGATTCAAATTCATGTCTTGACAGCAATAAGATAAAATTTAATAGCTCTTAGCTTGTTAGTATGGATAAGAACGAGAGGATTTTGTTCTTCTCAAACTGAGAATTATTTTTTCCTTGTAAATTATCTGTCCTTTTTAACTGAAATTCTTTTTCGTGAATCACTTTCATATATCTTTGCAAACTTCTACTAGATTGAAACTTTAAAATAATTCTAGAGGACTTAAAAGATCCCTCTTACTCTCATTCTATATATAAGAAGTTATGATACGAAAGTGCATGAAAGATTACGAGTCTGTCCCTAGATCCCTAGGTGCAGACCTAGGTACTACTACTATATATACTAGACACACTACCCTTAAGTAGGCTTAATGAGGTTACATAAGGTAATTATTCTAACACTTTCTCATGTCTTTTGACTTCTAACTCAGTTGCATTAACTCTCATTGGAGGTGTGCAAATGTCGATGCTTCTGGAACTAGGATACGAGGGGAGTCCCACTTACTCTTGGTTGGTGATCCGGTAAGCATTTAATTGCTGTTACTATTTGTGGAACTGTGGATTTTTCTGTCAGTTCTTATCATCAAATTTAGATAAAGAAAAAAAAAATGTTCTTATCATCCTAACTTTCCCTCACATACCACACTCTGTTTCGGTACAGGCACCGGAAAATCTCAGTTTCTGAAATTTGCTGCAAAATTGAGTAACCGCTCTGTTATTACACTGGATTGGGAAGCACAAGTGCTGGACTGACTGTTACGCAGTGAAGGATGGAGGTATGTTTTTTAAGCTGAAATTTTAACGGCAACAGATTCTTTTAGTCTCGTTCATACTTTGTTGTACCTGTTCTGTTTCTACTTTTGAATTTGCCACTAGCTGTTAAAGCTATTTTATTTCTTCCATCAACATCATTAAAAAAGGATATGCTCTTCCAATTACTTAAAGAGAGAACTGAAACTCTATATTATTTTCTGTTTATTTACAGAAATATGCACAAGTATATAAGCGCATGAATAAATAATTGCTAACCTAAGGATTTAGGCTACAAATCTGTTGTATTAGTCGTATGCCCCTAAAAAAATGTGGGAAGACCAATCCAAATTACAAGGAATAAGAAAGTATTCTATGCATACCTACATGGTACAACGCACATAATCTAATTTTAATAGAAATTCCGGCTTTTCATTTTCTGATAGTTACCAGAAATAATTTGTCAGTATTCTCTTCCAATACCCCAGCTTTAGCATATTCAGACCATCAAATTGTCAAGAAAATAATGCAATAAAAATTACGTTTTCTACTGAAAAGCCCATGTCTAAAACAAATGACCCAATACTACGTGGCATTGAAATAAATATACACATAACAAGATTCCTTATTATTTAACAAACAGTCTAAAGATGTAACAAGGGATACAAATAGAGAAAAGAAAAAGTAGGCACAAAATTAATATTTCCATTGACAAAAGAAGAGAGAAATGCATCATTATCGATGAGGATTATAAAGAGGGACCACTCAACTTACAAAATCTAAATCCAATTTCGAATGCACACTAATTCTTACAGTCATTAAGAATCGGTAAGCATAAAAAGTAATTCATGTCAGGTCAAGACAAGCTAAAAAGACGTGGAAGCCATTTACAACACAAATAAGACTTTCTCACATATTAACAACTTATCTCAAGTAAGGCCAATATGACAAAATAGAAATTATAATAGATTTGTATAAAGAAATCCAAAGATGCATCATTCATAATTTTCTGAAAGGAAAAACCATAATTCAAGGTCTATATTTCTTAGATCAAATACTAGTGAATGAGAAATAGAGCTACCACACATTAACTGAAACCTGCTCATAATTTCCAGCGGTAATAACCCCTAGATCAAGTCATATGTTAAATATCAATGTGTATGGGATACAATAGTTATCAAAATTTGAAGTGAATACCTCCAGCTTTAACAACATCAACGAGGTCATCCTTTAAGATGACAAGAATTGAACGAGGAATTGCCCCAACACCTAGCACCTGTGTACTTTCTTGAATTTTTATCTCCTGATAATCATGGCATACTATAGTGTTCTCTACATACTGAAATTTCGTGCCGGAACAGGGCTTGGAATTCTGATGTTATAAACACAAAAATAACAAATATAAACAAAGGGAAAAAGATAGTCTGCCAATTTCAAAGTATACTAATATCAGATTTACAGAAAAACAAACACATAAATTGAAAGGATAGGAGTTCAAAAATCAAATTTAAGCTTTCAGAAAATTTCTAGATTTGAGAAAGTTGACATAGTCCTCAACTTGTTGCAAGAAAATTCACATGACACAAGCAAATTCTAATCTGGCACTTTGCTTATCTTATACTTTAATATATGATACCATATCTTATTATGTATTAATTTTTGGGTTATGAAATGGGAACAAATATCCAAGTATTGTAAGGAAAATGTAGAACACAGATGCAGAACATACCTGAAATGGGCAAATGGAAGGTAATGATATGGAGTTTCGAGCTTCCACCAAAGGATGTACTGGGAAGCTGCATAGATACTTAGTTAACTGGTGTGGGAAAGATATTGAGAGGTGTATGGGAATAAAACAGATATCTTTACCAAGTTGTGAATGTGCATAAATTTTTTGGCGCACAATGGCGACAATGAGGTTTGAGCCTAACATCATGCAAGCTACCCAACCAAACCCTCCCCCCCTCCCCCACTAGGTCAACCATAGTCAATCCGTGAATGTACACAGGTGAATTCATTCAAATGTGCACACACATAGCATGAGAAATTAGTTACAGCCTGTAGGGAAACAATAATAAGTGTGCAGCTAATTTAGTTACTGGTATTAGAGCTAATGTTTAGTTGTTCATAACATCCAGCTTTTTCCTCATTCTAGCGTACACACCATATACTCATTAAGCTAGCTATATATGACATAGTTGAATAACTGATTCAATGATTTTTAAGAGATTGTTTGACTTCTTGACAAACACTTACCAAGGCTTCTCCTGTCCTGGTAGGAGTTTAACAATTGATTCATAGAGTTTTGAGAAATAAAAAGCAAACTTATGGCAATTTGTGACACAAGAAAAACAGGAAACCGCTGGCTCCTATGCATACTGATAATACTCTTGGNCCACTAGGTCAACCATAGTCAATCCGTGAATGTACACAGGTGAATTCATTCAAATGTGCACACACATAGCATGAGAAATTAGTTACAGCCTGTAGGGAAACAATAATAAGTGTGCAGCTAATTTAGTTACTGGTATTAGAGCTAATGTTTAGTTGTTCATAACATCCAGCTTTTTCCTCATTCTAGCGTACACACCATATACTCATTAAGCTAGCTATATATGACATAGTTGAATAACTGATTCAATGATTTTTAAGAGATTGTTTGACTTCTTGACAAACACTTACCAAGGCTTCTCCTGTCCTGGTAGGAGTTTAACAATTGATTCATAGAGTTTTGAGAAATAAAAAGCAAACTTATGGCAATTTGTGACACAAGAAAAACAGGAAACCGCTGGCTCCTATGCATACTGATAATACTCTTGGTAAACTCGAAAATCTCCCCACCAAGAGAAAGGCCTGGAGTGATGCACAGCCAAAGTGGGAAACAAGGGTTTCCTCCCAGACACTAATAACGTACAATGACATACAGAGATGAGCAAAGGTTGTGTGAAACAGGGTGAGTGTGAGTGCATTGGAATTGAGTGTGTAGCATAAATTGTTAAGAAAAAATAGTGCAGTAAAGCCTTTATTAGAACATCGCAATTGTTAATATTAATAGTACAGATGATATTTCAAACATTCTGACAAAGAGGAATTATCATGATATACTAGCCAGACAAATTATGAAGAAGGACAAAAAAATGAAGTAGGAGACACCTGTTTTTGCATTTGTGACACATGTACGTCCTCTCCCCTTCATGCATCTTCATTGCTCCAGACCTAATCACTATCCCTTTGAGAGTGAGAAGAATTCCATGGTGCTGCACGCGAACACGTCCAATGCTTGGAAAAGTTTCTGATTACGTCAAACAAAATAAAACTCACACACGAATCAATCAACATTTGGACTCAGGATTCATAAGGGGTTTTGAAACAAACAACTAGAGAGCAAAAGCAGACCAGGGAATTCAAGGACTGAGCCACAGGTGTTAATACGAACATGAATGGACTTTTTCTCCACCCCTTTCTTACAATCCGCCAATACGGTTTTCTAACACGACCCCCGACATAAAAAAGACGTCAAGATTCCACCTTTCTCTTCCAAATCAAAATAAACAAACAAAAGAGAGAACTACGTACCTGGGCCGAAAGGGCAGCTGCGTCGAATACTCGCAAATAGGTATTGGGTTGGAACAAGAGGAGACAAGCAACGCGATATACCTCTTCAAACAGTTCAGCAAAACTTAATAAGAAAAAGAGGACTGGTTAATCTTGCAGTAAGAAAACAAATGAAAAGGTATAAATTCCATAACAATAATCGTAATACTCGACGAAAAGAGGGAAGTGAAGGTCGGAATCGGGAGAAGAAACAATGGAGTGGAACTGGTCTGAATGGTGGCGTTCGAGAAAGGAGACCATTGACTGGAAGTCATCTGGATCTGCGTTGTTATTTTCCGTTAACCATGCTTCTCTGCTCTGCAAACTCTCACTCCTTTGGGAGGGAAAACAACGAGCGCGCCAAGTTTCAAGGTTTACCATTTTCATTTTGTGACATGCCAAACTCGGAATGTCTAAAATTTATCCAAGTATTTTCATATATCATTAATTCCTTTAAGTATTACAAAAAAATCAAGTAAACTTTTTTTCTTATATTGTTATTTTATTACTCCAGTGTTCTATTATTTTTATTCATCGAATATATTTTTTTCTTGTAATTTTATATCTAACTATTGCCGTTTCGTTTCATAAATTAAAAATGATAGAGAAACACGTTGACGGGAGTGCAGAGAGAATATAAAGTTACTGAAACTAAGGTTGTTTGGTAAAGAAAAAAAATGATTTTTTAACCACTTTTTTTCTGTGATAATTTATTATATTTTTGTGATAATTGATTATTTTACTTCTTATAACTTTTTACTTTGTGTATAGTGATATAGATATGATTTTTACTTGTATATAGGAAAAATCTTATTGTGTGAGACTTGAATGTTGTGTAGTGATAAGTAATATTTTGACCTATTTAAGAAAGTTTATTGATTATAAACTTTGGGTTGTATAGTAATAATTAAGATTTAAGTTATCTTAAAATAAATTTTGTTCTTTAAAGATTTTGGAGTTATGTATAAATAGTTGGGATTTTAATTTATCTTAAAATATGTCTTATCATTTAGACTTTGAGTTGAGTAGTGATAAACAGGATTTCAACTTACCTTAAAATAAGAATTGCTGTTCAAAGATGTTGACCTAATTTAAAATAAGTCATATCATTTAGACTTTGAGTTGAGTAGTGATAAACAGGATTTCAACTTACCTTAAAATAAGAATTGCTGTTCAAAGATGTTGACCTAATTTAAAATAAGTCATACATCTTAGACTTAAAAATATGTAGTGGTGATTAGAAGTTCAACCTACTTAGAATAAGTTTTATCACATAAGACTAATTAGGAATATAAAGATATGAATGTTGACTCAAAACAGAAACATATGTGTGAGATATAAATATAAAAAAATTAAAAATACCAAAAAATATGCTTAATGATATAATAAATTCTGATACTAGGATGAAATGAATGTCAAATATGAAAAACAATTCATAAAATAAGAGGCAGAAAATTAGAAATATGCAACTTAACTTTGGCATAAGAATTATAAGTTTTGAATATTCTAAAAAATAATAATGATCAAGAAAAATAATACTGTGATAAATGGTCGTCCCAAAAACACAATTATTTTTTTTCATCTTTATGTCTATTGATTCAATTTTCATCGAGATGATAGATTTTCATGGTCAAGAATTACAACTGTGCTAGAAGTACTAATTTTATTATCTTTAATATAGTATTTCAATAATATTTTTTATTTATTTCTAAATAAGTCGAGTCTCTTACAAATTTAAATATTTTTAATTGACCTTTTATTAATTTTTTTATTTGTCGAATCTTTGAATTGTGTAATTTGATTTTTCTACTAACTTGACATGACTATTATATTTTTGTTATATTATTTACCTGTTACTTACAGTGTTAAGAGACGTGAAATTTAGTGACTAATAGGAAGATCATATATACGTTAATGTAAAATGACAATAACTTTCATCATTTTCAAAATTGTTTACAAAAATGTCATTTTTTCTCATGGCTTCTATGTCATCACTTATCGTGATCAAAAGATAATATCTCTGTTGTGGCTTTAAAACACATTGACGTTAATATTTGAAAAAACTTTTTAATATATTTTAAAACATCAAAATCAGTGTCCCTCAGTGTATTTTGAAGACAAAAAAAAAATAACAGTTCAGAAAAAATAACAGAAAATCCAAATTTGATAAAATTACAAAAGACTATTTCCTTTTATCTCGTGTAATACAAAGATTAAATTATAACTTTAACCATCAAAGGTTATAATATTTAGAGACACTAAAATGATATTTAAATATATTTTAAAATACTAACAACCTTAGCTAGCGAAGTAAAAGCTGTTAACCATCGATTCCTACGAAGGAACACTGCACATTTAAGGTATCAAAGAGACATTATCAGTATGCATCTTTTTATACGGAACCACCAACATCATCAGTATGTGTTTCGCAGAATCACTTGTTATACGATTCGGAAACAATCTGTATAACAACGTAGCAAAATCAAGTGTATAGCAAGAAACCA